ATAAGAAGGAAAATATATTAGACGTGTATTTTTCAAATAACATGTTTTCATGTAAAACTAAAAAAATATCATTGTGACCTAAATACGAATTTATCGGTTTGAAAAAAACAAAAAGCAACAAATATTATGTTGTTATTACACATTTTATAAAAGCGATACCAAGTTATCTGATTTGCTGTACTATACAAATGGAGAATGCTTAACGCTAAAAATATTTCGGTTTGAAAAACAACAGAAATTATAATTTTGCAAACATATTTTATAAAACCATACCATACTGTCTGAATTGAATATACGTGTACCTAGAAAAGTAGAGCTTTTGATTTTTAACGGGTAATAATCGAAACCAACGGGTATCCGAAATAATGGGATACTCTTTGATTCGAATAAGTAACATCTGTTAATGAGTACCGTAAAATGGGGTAACTTTGTTTTTTCAAACATGGTTGATAACACGTTATCATATCTTTGTAACCATTACTGTGGTAGTGTTGGTTGTTGGTTGTTTGTGTAAACAACATACCGTTCCTACTATCGGGTTGTTAAAACAAATTGTTATCATATTATCTACCGCCAAAACGCATTAACAAAAAGTGATATGTATTACTTTTTTTTAATGCGTTAATATGATGTCTACAATCGCGCAGGTTAGGTTACAATAGTATTTCGCACACTTAGATCAACGCAGTATAACTCAAAAAGTAACATTTGAAAAGAGTATGAAAAAACAAAACAAAGCGGGAAAATTACTTTGCCCTAATTAGATCCACCTTATACTAAACATACTAGTTTAAGCAAATTATTGACAGTGATTTTATATGTATCTACAGATACGCTTCGAAGTGTTTATCTGAAAGCGATTTTGTCTATAGATATTACATATATAAGCACACTAATAGTTTTAATTTAGATTTTAAATGTAGTCTACTAACATTTTTAATTTTGAATAAAACTTGTGTTAAAAGTGTTTTGAAATATAAACAAAAGACAAACAGCTGTTATCGTTGTACATTTTTTAGATTTTTACGTAAAGACAAGGATGGGTTTTACAAATACAATTTTTATAGTTTTACTATTTTTTTTTTTACGAAAAACATGTGTTTTTTTCGTTTTACCTCGATGTATTATTTGTGTTTTTGAACGTTTGAATTTGCGTGCATTATAGTACCATATTGCCCCGACCCCACTGTACTGGTTTTTTTTTTCTTTAAACGGTAAAGAAATCAGGTCGGCTATTTGTTTTGTGCTGCTGTCTGAAAGCAAGATGTACAAAACTTTGTATTGTGATTTGTAAAATTACGTGACTACTGAGCATAAATTAAGGTCTGAAAATTGTACTAAAATTGGGTCTAATAAGCTAGGCTTACTATTTAGATATAGGACGAAAATAAAGATAAAAAGAACCCTTTTAAACTTCTAAAAACTTTAAGAAACTGTTTATAGTAAATCGTAAACATACAGTACGGTTAAGCAATATTATAATAATAAAACTAACTAACACAGCAATAACTGACTTTAAAGTACTGACAATAATACATAAGAAGAACTTGTATACTATTATACAAATTAGTGAACTGTCGTAAACGGATAAACAATAATACGTAGTGATGACAAAATAGTTAATACAAAGGAAACTGCGTATCGGGAAATAGATAACCTAAATACAAATATCAAATATATACAAATGACGTCAGAAAATAAAGAATGACAATATACAAAAATATACTAATTTAGTAAACATATAATATACAACAATAAAATGAACAACAAATAAATATGTAATTAATAATAATAATGGTCGATAACAAGTCTTAGAAAAATATATCGTGTATAGGATAAATATATAAAATGTATTTTTTTTGTAAAATATATTATTTTTGTTCATATTGCTGTAATTATTTGTCTCGGCATTAATTTTATTATTTTATTTTTCGTATGAATTTAGAACCGTTTGAAAATATTATGATGTTTTATCATTATTATTACTTTTCTAAATAATTCATCTTGAAAACCCGGTTTAGGTCGTGCTATTTATTGAAATAAGAATTATACATAGGTACCTACATATATTTTGATGTGTTATTTTGTATACTTTTTCAAATAGTGACTTGTTAAGTACACACCAATATCCTACTAATATATATATAAATATATATATACACACACACAAAAAACAAAACAGTATCTTTTAAATCGACCTAGTTAAATTATTTTGCCTTTACAAAGTTATAAGAATAACAATATTAAAAACAAATTTTCTATCCATACCGAGACGCAAAAATATGTGTCTTCGGCCCATATCTATACATCATCAATATTCACATTATTTTTGTGTCATCTTAATAATGATTATGTTTAATAGAAGGATAAAATATTTTTCATCTGTAATTTTTTTTTGATTTTCAAAAGTTATCGTACACTAATAAAAATTTAACATATAATTAAAATATAAATCCTAATATACATTTAAGTTATAATGAATAGTAGCAGTACTAGTACGTACTATTAACACAGAATAAGAATAATAAAGTATTGTCAAGCTTCCAACAAAGTTCTGAATTTCAGGTTTCAAAAAAACATCAATTTAATAAACAATCTCTTCTGTAGTATACAGAAATTGTACAATAAATTAACTATGCAATTTATTTTTTTTTTCTAAATAATTTTTAAAAATAACCCCAAAACTTGTAGAGTTTAGACCCTTTAAATCCTTTAAAATTAGCCATATTTTAAATATTAAACGCAGTAAGTAAAAACCTGTTCGAATATTATACTATCTTACATAGAATGAGAATAGTAAAGTACTTCTAAGATACCGATAAAATAAGTACGCAAATTTCCAGTTTTCAACCAACAATAGTTCTGTACTAATATTTATTACCCTAATTTTCGCCGTATTGTGAAAATAAGAATAATGGTTTTTGGTGAAGTTACGTTTGCTTTTTCCAGGGACAACCACTCATATCCACTTTTAACATTATTATCACTTTTAAAAGTGGATCTTCTAACGTTTCTTTGTAATTTTTTTCAGTGCCTAAACGTTGACATAATTTATACATAATTTATTTAATTATTTAACAAGGTATGCAATCTATCATTTCTTTTTCTTAATGTTTTCCAAAACACTTTAACAACGATTGGCTAAAGGTATGTGTTATAGACCCTTCAAACCCAAATTAAACTCATATCCATATTGGCTACTCTAATTTATTTTAATTATACTATTACTCTAAAGTAGTAGTAATAAGGGCATTCACAGCAATCTTTTAACCAATGGGCATTTACAGCAACCTTTTTACCAATGGGCATTCACAGCCCACTTATAACCAATGGGCATTCACAGCAACCTTTTTACCAATGGGCATTCACAGCAACCTTTTTACCAATGGGCATTCACAGCCCACTTATAACCAATGGGCATTCACAGCAACCTTTTTACCAATGGGCATTCACAGCCCACTTATAACCAATGGGCATTCACAGCCCACTTATGATCAAAGAGACATTCACCTCTATAGTCTAAAAAAAGTTGATTTGTATCCACCTGATAGTTCTTAAATACTAGTATAATTACTAAAATATATCGTGAGCATAGTCATGCAGTTGGGTTAGGCGTAGGGTTTTTTAAAGCAGGTAAATCTTAACTAATCTTTAATTTCAGGTAGTGGTGGTAAGTTTCTTAACTAAACAACACCTCATCCAACCGCTTGACTATGCTTACTTTTTGCATTTTTTTTTAAACACTTTTTTTGTTTTTAGTTTTAGTCATTATAATCTTTACTAAGAAGTAATACTAGAGGGAGGGGATAGGAGAGGATTATTTATAAATACCCCCACATTGTTTCAAAAGTTGTGAGTACTGTGCTTAAAGTGATATAGTGCAGACGTTTAAACTTGTGCTACTATTTTTTCTAATATTTAAAAAAATGAGTAATATCCTATCTAAGAATTCATTCTGTATTGACCCCAAACGTTCGATTACGATTGGATTCATTTTAGATAAAACATTATCAATTGTGATTTATTTAGACTATAAAAACTATCGAGATAAATTAGTTCTTTCTGAACAAAATTGGCAAAGCCTTATGCAATTGCAGACTCTAAATAATATTTTAAACACTATACCAGTTAGCGCAAAACGTTTACATATAAATGAGAATTTTTATTGTACAACAAATCCGAAAACCGATTCAGTCATTTTACGTAATGGAGAGGATCAGCGATTGAAATTGACAAGAATTAACATTTTAACACTTCAAATGTTAAACCCATGTATTCAAGCTCACTTGAAAGAAAGGCTCAACAAGCTACCATTATATCAGAAGTGTTTCACCGATATATACACGTCTATATTAAATGATGTAAATAACTTCTCAAGCGAATGTCGTCGAATAGACTTTATCCAGGCTTACATAACAAATTTTAATTTCCAGTATTATACAACAGATGAGACGGCGCTTATCGTCCATGAATTACAGATCAATTATGCACAGATAATAAATCTTATTATGCAGGAACTTTTAATAGCTGTATTTTAATTGAAGAGAAGGGCAATAACCTTCATACGAGTTTTATAACGTCAAAATTTCATGTCAGAACGTGTTTGCGAAAAAAAAAAATCGAAAAGTATGTCAATAAATTAACATACGAGTTATACAACGTCAAAATTTCATGTCAGAACGTGTTTACAAAAAAAAAACCAGTAGAAATCATCGCTCATCGCCTATTGTTCATCGCGAAACAAAAATAAATTATGTAAAACCACCGCTGATGAAATATAGATTTTTGGTTATAAAAACCTTATTTATACCTCTTAACATTATTAACACGCTTATATAATTGAAAATACAAACATATATATCTATTTAAAAAACGTTTTTTTATGAATATAATAATTTTTTTTATTTTGAACCATTTATACTAGAGTGTATAATAAATAATACAACAATTACTATCACCACATTATATTTACCATAAAAATAACAAAATACATAAAATATCTATTTATCCGAATAAGTCTTAACAATTCTAGTCTCGTCGGACATAAATCGAGCTGCTACCTCATCAAAAAGCTGCTTGATGAGTTGTTGTATTTTTGCATCCTTTTTTAAAGTGTCCGTCAAACAAAGTTTAGCCGAATATTGTACGTGTTTCCATCTAGAAAAAAAATGTATTAGAATAAAGGAAAATGGAAATAACATAATAATATATAATAATTTACCTTAGTGATGGCGAAACTTTTGATATTTTATCGATATCAAACTGCTCAATAACAATATATTTTTTAGCGTTTGGCGTTTCGATAGAAATGTCGTATTTGGCTTGTTGTGATTCGCTATCGGCTTTTAAAATGGATCGATCGTAACAAAACTGACGGTTCGGGATTGCTTCTTTTTCTGCTTTCTCCAACAAGCTCGAAAACTAAAAAAAAACATGTCCTTAAAACGGAACAACCTTTTAAATAATTTACATAAATTGAAAACAAGTATATACTGTGGTTTTTTTTGAGTTTTTTTTCTGTGAGCTAACAGCAGTATCCATCTTTTTTGATTTCTTCGGCGGCTGTTCCTAAAATATATTATAAAAATAGAATCTTAGAAATAAATTTGAAATAAACGTATAAAGACATTTTTTTACTCACAAATGTCGTATTAGATGAGTCATCTTCGCTACACTCTGTTTTTGTTTTCCTCGATTTTTTTATTTTTTTTAATAGACTTTCCTAAAATTATTATTTTTTTTAAAATTGTTAGTAAATAAATAAAAATATTTAAAAAAAATTATTACTTACAGAAACAATTGATTCGTCATCACTAGAGATTAAGTACTCATTTTGTTATGTTCTTCGTGTGGCTTGACTTCTGAAAGACTGGAGCTGAAGTGATTTTTTAATATCAGTTTCAGGTGTGTTTTATACCTAATAAGTGAAAAAAGTATCTCCCTTCTATATATATATATATACATATATATGATGTATATTAAACAAAGTATGACCCAGACACGATAATTACGATAATTACGATACTTACAATAATTACTCATGACAATCATGTGTTGACATAGGTGTTGAATGTGTTTAGTACACACATCTGTATAACCTATTTTCCAAACAATTAATCTTAACACACTTAATTCGGCTAGGAGGTAAATTGAGTGCGGGGTTAGTAGAGGTTAAAATTTGTGTATAAAACCCTAAGAAATCGTGCACATTATTATCAGTTTGTGTCCAAACGTTTCAACAGTAAAAACTTACTCAAACCCATTGATCGTCATCTAATCTTTTTTGGTAAGTACAATATTAGTAAACTAACTCATTCAAACTATACCTATATTTATTAGTAGATAAAATGATAGTTCTTTAGTTTAAATCACATGCATTTTGTTTTTTTACTTTGATCTTTGATAAGTTTTTAATTTATACTTACGTAGAACTAGAAACATTAGTTTAATTTATTTAAGCTGAATACAGTGTAGTGTCTCAATTTATAAGTTAGTAGTTTAATTCACCTACAATATCTTAATTTATTTTAAGCTTACACAGCGCTGGAAATACGTTTTTACACCAAGTCATGTCTGTTTGATTTATTTAAACTTACACAGAACTGGAAATACATATTTATACCAAGCCATGTCTGCTTAATTTAATTAAGTTGAATACAGTATAGTGCCTCAATTTTAAAGTTGAATATTATTATAAGTTAGTAGTTTAATTCACCTAATTTCTTTTTTTTACTTTGATCTTAGTAAGTTCAATATCTTAATTAAATTTAAAACTTACATAGTGCTGGAAATAGGTTTTTTTTTTCACCGAGTCATGTCCGTTTAATTTATTTAAACTTACACAGAACTGGAAAAAAAAAAGAAAACATGTTTATACTAGAGCTTCTTATTTCACGTGTACACGAAAATACGTGTATTCGAACTTTTGAATAGTTCGTGTTTAAGTTCATATAGTTCGTGTATTCGTGTTTTCGTGTATTCGTGTATATGTACATTCGTGTTTTCGTATATTCGTGTTTTTGTACATTCGTATATTCGTGTTTTCGTATATTAGTGTAATTGTATATTTGTAACTTAATCGCCATTTACTTATTATTGTTTTATAAATTCCGAGTACACTTATTTAACATAGAATTGATTATATATGTAGGTTGTCTTTGATTTAGCCTTATTAAATACATATGTATTATGTATATATTTTTTTTATAATTTACAGGGTCTTATTTTTTAACTAATTTTTTTGAATAAAGTGTGAGTCTATAAAAATTAAACTGTAAATAATACTTATATTATATAACATAATTTAATCATTCAATATCATTTTAATTTCAGTAAAAAAAACTGAGTAAATAATTACAAAATTCCAGCTTTTATGTCATATATAATATAATGTTTATCATAAATAACAAATTATATAATATTGATTATACTTCATTAACAACAAATATGAACTTAATAAACAATAACGTTACCTACAAAAAATCATAAAAAAAAAAAATACAAATATAATTTTCACTACTAAATAAACAATTTATAATATAATAATTGTGACAAGAATAACTCAAAATATCAATAAGTGATATAATTAAGATTTGAATCTACAATTATCGTCTTAATCCTCTAAATAAACCAAATTCATTACAAATTTGCATTCCCTGACAGAAATATTTGAATGTAATAATGGGTGACAAAAATTATTTACACAATAAAAAGACATTTTTCCTAAAATAAAGACAAATTTATAAATTGTTATAAAATGCAAAATTCAACGATTGCAAGAAAATATGAATATAAAAACAAATTTACAAAAACTATGAAAGCTTTATTATTATTAAACATTAATGGTTACATTTATAATACATTATATTTTATTTTACATTTTATAAAGCTATCTTTGGGGGGGGGGGGGATTTTGGGGGTCGAATCTCTTCCTGAATATGTTTTCTGTAAAAACAGGTTTTTTTAATCATCCTAAAAGTATAACATATATTTTTGAAGACATCTCCAATAGTTTGGTCCCTAGGTACTTACAATTTTGTTTTATCGATAACTAGTCTTAAATAATATCTTGATAATAAAAATTATTATTGATAAAAAGTGTACATGAAAGGTGCCCCTTTTGGCAATATAATTATTAACTCTGTACTCTTTTAAAAAACACCCTTAACCCCTCTAAATGAGAAGTAAATTTTAACATAGCCATTACATTTGAATTTTGCAACCCTGAAAATGTATAAGTTAATTTACTATGAAGTATTTCAAAGTAAAATTAGAAAGATATTAATTTTTACCGATTTTTTTTACTTATATTTTAGACTTGTGTGTGCTATGGCGTAACCATGTGAACAATTCACTATATCCGTACATTCATTATTCGAATACCCGTTTTCACGAATACCCGTACATTCGTTATTCGAATACCCGTTTTCACGAATACCCGAACATTCGTTAGTCGAATACCCGTTTTCACGAAAATTCGTACGTGTTCGAATAGAACATTTGTGTATTCGTGTAACGAATACACGAATGTTCGCTTTCACGTACTTGACTGAGACCTCTAGTTTATACCAAGCCATGTCTGTTTAATTTAATTAGGCTGAATACAGTATAGTGTCCCCAATTTTAAAAGTTAAATATTATTATAAGTTAGTAGTTTACTTTGATCTTAGTAAGTTCAATTATCGAGTTTCAATATCTTAATTTAAACCTTCACAGCATTGAAGACAGTAGTTTATACTAAGTTATGTCTGTTTAATTAATCTTAAGCCGAATTTTTTTTTTTAAGTTAATTATTATTATATACTAGTATAATTTATAATTTATTTTTTTACAGTATCGCTGTACTACACTATCACTACCAATGTAAGTATTATATTAACCATAGTTTTTTTACTCACATGTTATGGCACAACCGAACGGTACATTTTGCTTAACAGACCACGAGAGAGCTCGCTTGTTTAAAAATTAAAAAAAAAAAAAAATACCCATAGAATTAGACAAGCAAAAAAAATGGCAATTATAAAAAAAAATATGGAGATATATAAAAAACATGAATTAGATAGTAAAATAAATAGAATGTTTAAAACTATTATTAAAACTATCGAAGAAAATATTAAAAAAAAATGATAAAAAAAAATACTAGTTTTTTTTTAATTTTAATGTATATTTAGAAGGTTTGAGATTTTTTATATAGTAATATTACAATAAAAAATTTAAGAGAAGTTATTATTAAGTACTTAAGTTTAAGTTGATTATTAAAACATACTTGTAAATATTTATATAAATTTGTAATAAATATTGTTTTTTTTTTGTGCTACCTATTTGTAATTTAGTTGTAAACTTTCATATAATCAAAAAAAATGTTCTTCATAGTTTTCAAAATGTCACAATCTACAAAAAACCCAAATTATAGCGAGGTATGTTTAAATTGCCCGTTGAACGTAGACCATCTTATTCCGGCAAAAAAAATACACCAGCACCTTAGGAGGAAGCATGGTGTGGAAAATGTCCACGCTGGGATATATGGAGGATGGTTTGACGAAAAGGTCAAACCATTGGTGTAATAGAAGATTGGGATGACGAGGCGCAAATTCCAGCAGCAATTAATAAAAATGACTACTTCCCATACAAATTTTAATTTGTATAATTTTTTTGCTAATAATAAAAATAAAATAAATGTTGATCACCCTACTTTATAATTATCTTTTATTCTCTTTTAACAGTCGGTTAATTGTATACTAGAATTAAACTATACAATATCATTCAAATACTCTATGTATGTAGGTACTTAATAAAGTATGATGTATCCCGCCAGTCAGCCTATAACTATTTAACGGTTTTTTGATACTATATCACATTTGTTTAATTTTGTTTCACAGTTGAAATGAGTAATATTACGAAGCAGATGCGTCTTAATATAGTTGGAGATGGTTTAGAGGAAATAGAATCATTTAGAAAGCGACGTTCAAAAACATATTTTTTAAAAAACTTGTTTAAATTTTTAGACTTCACCACATTTTTTGAATATGCTACATCTTTTTTATTGCCAAAAATCAAAGAAGAATGTCAAAACACATCAATTAAATTTAATTTATACCTGGATTGTGTATACGAAAATTTAATAAGCTTTGAAATTAGAGATATTGCCTTCAAAACTTCAAATGTTTTCACAACATCAGGTTCAGATGTATCCAAACTATTAAAAAATATGTATGACAAACTTTTAATTGAAGAGTCTGATTTTATTACTAAAGGGTCGGGATGGAGTCTTAAATGTATAGATGGATTACAACTAAGAATTAATTATGTAAATCCGCTACAAGGTTCAACGTATATACCACTACCAAAAAAACTCCAAAATAAGAAAGCTGTAATCAATGTATATAATAATGATGCAAAATGTTTTAAATATGCTATTTTGTCTAAATTTGATGTACGTAGTAACAAAAGTAGATTTATTAAAAAATATTTTAATTATTTGGAGAAAAGTAGTAAATTAGATTTTAGTTGTGTAAAATACCCAACTCCAATTAAAGAGGTTAAAAAATTTGCAAATATTAATAATCTATCAATCAATATTTATGGGCTTGACAACAAATCGCTAATTTATCCAATAATAGTTTGTGACGCTGAAAAAACAAAACATTTTGATTTACTTTTAATTAGTAATGATACCCGTCAGCATTATTGTTTTATATCCGATTTTTCGAGACTTATTAGATCTCAAAGAACACAGCATCATGAAAAAATAATTATTTGTAAACGATGCTTTACTACTTTTAATAAAAAACCTTGTGATAGCAAATTATGGGGCTTAAAAGGTTTAGCTGAACATAAATTACGCTGTAATCAACATAAATT